TCTGCTGCATCCCGGAGGGTGGTAGCGATGCTAGGTCACCTCCCACAGCACTCAGGACCTCCTCGGTCCCTGAGCCCCCGTCCGTGCTACTCAGGGGCTGGGATGGGACCTCTAAGTCAGCGAGGGTGGCACGGAGGAGGCTGTAAGGGGCTCGGGTGCTAGCGGGTGCCACCTCCCTGCCCGCCCGGGTGGCAGCGGAGAGGGAGGGCTGAGTGGCAGAAGGGAGGGCAGGGGACAGGCAATTGCAGTCAGGATTTGTCCCCACACCTGAAAGAAGCAGAGAGAAGAGAGGGCCGTGGGGTCACCAGCCTCCAAGAGAGGCACAGCCAGCAGATCTAAGGTTGGGGACAGTGTCCCCATCCCTCCCTGGGGGAAGAGGGTTAGATATTCCCACACACACAGAAAGGGAGAGTGAGGGTGAGGCAAGGAGCAAGCAGGAGCAGGTGACAAGCAGCAGGTAGGGTGGAGCAAACTCAAGTGACTGAGTCCCCTGAGCTGATGGCAATGGGTTATCCATGACTTGCAGGGGCCACAGAGCCACGTTTAACATCCCCCACGGCACAGGGACACGGCACAGCTCCGACACACGGTGACAGCCACACATCTCCTCCCTGGGCATGCAAACACAGCTGGTGGAAGCACAGATGGCAGCACAGGGGGCTCTTCCACCCCAGCCTTGATCAGGGGACACTGAGGCACGAGGCAGGTGAGGTGACACAGCCAAGGTCATGCAGCAATGTTGGTGGCACAGCAGTCGTGGAGCCTCGAGGTCTCCGCGTTACGCTCAACCCAGCACTGAGGCTTTGAGATGGAGCCAAGCCTGATGCTTCCTGGTGGAAATGCCTCCAGCAGTTCTCCCTGGCCTTGCTTCCAGCAGGATTTGGCTCAAATCCCATCTCCAAAGGGCAGGCAGCCCCTTCTCCCAGCTGATCCCAGACACAGAGACAGTGCCACGGCCACAAGCCGAGCGACAGACGAGGACCAAGGCAGAGACGTGCCCATGGACAGGGACACACAGCTCCATGCAGGTGAGCCCAAGCCCCTCCACCCTGGCACAGGTTTGCTGGGCTGAGCCAAGCCTTGGTGTCTCACCTGGTGAGGAACCAGCTTTCCTGGGCCCCAGGCAGGTCCTGCGGTACACCTGGCTGCAATCCTTCTCAAAGGTCTCCTGGTTCTGCAGGAGGTGGTTGATGTCCTGGAAGAAATCCTTCACCAGCACCAGCATCTCATAGGGGGAGGTGGTGAACTCTTTGAAGCACATCTGGGAGAGCTGGAGAAAGCAACAAGCTCAGCATCAGCTCCAGGACTGACCTGGTGGCACCACCACAGGTACCAGGGCATGACCCCACCATGGTTTCCATGCACACTCTGCTCCTGCCCATGGTACCACCCTGGGGTGGTGTGGACACCTCATTTCAGCCCAGGATGAGGACCCAAGCCCACAACCCCCACGAGGCTGAGGACACCATACCATTCTCTCCTCATCATCCTCCTCCCTGATGCAGGGGTCGACGTTCTCATCGATGCGGTTGTACATCCTTCGCACTGTCTGCATCTTCCTGGCATTGGAGGAGTTCTCCTTGAACTCTGTTCTCTCCAAGATCTTGCCCAGCAGAGGAAAAGCAGCTTTCACATAGCAGATGGAGTCATTCTGCAAGGACACAGCCCCCCCCCCAAAAAAAAAAGTGACAGTGGTTAGTGGATGGATATCACACTCTGCCTGGGGAAAACTGAGGCACAGAGCCACAAAATCCCACAGGATGCCCAAACTGGGAGGTGGAAGCCACTTGGACAAGCAGGATGGGTCCTGCAAAGGGGGACAGGAGAGGGGACACTGGGGATGTGGGGACCCCCCCCCCTGCCGGGGACACTGGGGATGTGGGGACCCCCCACCCTGCACCAGCCTGCCCTGTTCCCTGTCCCCCTCCATCCCCTTCTGTCTCCAGCAAGGAGTCACTCACCAGCTGCATCTTATCGATGAACTTGAAGGAGACCCTTCCTGGGTGCTGCATCTGGGTGTCAGCCTGGAAGGACAGAGCAGGATGTCACCCCACGGCCCCAGGGGCAGGGCAGGGGTGCTCAGAGGGGCTGGAGCTGAGCAGCCCCAGCTGTGCCATGCTCTGGGTAGAAAGAGGTGTCTGAGCTCCCAAATCCACAGGGATGAGGTGGGGGGAGCTTTGCTCCCAGCCCTGTTTCTTCCCACACCATCCTCCTCCTCACACAGGCACATCCCTAAGGTGGATGCTCTGGCAGGGGTGAGCCGAGGATTCCTGTTCCCATCAGGAACCAGGGACGCCTCTCCCTGGCTGCTCCCACCCCGCCTCTCTTCCTCCTCCTCCTTCTCTTCCTCCTCCTCCTCCTCCTCTTCCTGCCAGCACCACGGCAGAGCCCAGCCCTACTCAATTCTCTCTCTCACCGCTCTCCCCTCGAAATCCAGGCTGCAAAAGAGCATCCTGCCGTGCGGGGGGTGGCCGTGCCACCGAGGTCACACATCCCTCAGGATCACACGACGCCGAGGTCCCACACACAGCGCTGCCAACCCCCAATGCCACGACTAAAAACCCCCCCTAGCCAAACCCCCTGTCTCCGGGCCGGCATCCCAGGCTGGGAGAGCGACTCCTGCCAGAATTGCCGGCCGGCAA